TGTGCAAGGACATGAGAACAAAGGACATTTACACCTGGTGTAGCACTACAGGATAATGCATTAAACTGCAAAGTTGGTGGTTCAAACTCACCAGCTGTTCCTCAGAAACCCTACACAGGGTCACTGAGTTGGAACCGACTCCTGGATGGACCTTTAACACCACCACCACCAATAATAACAATGGTTAACCTGTATTGAACTCCCGCTATGTGCAAAGCACTATTCTAAGCACTTGTTTTGGTGTGGTGCTGTGGTTTAATACACTAGACTGCAAAGCCGTTTGAACTTCAAGGTCAGCAGTTGAAGCTCACCAGCTGCTCCTTGGAAACCTATACATGGGTCAGAATCGACTTGACAGTACTTAACAGCAACAACAACAATCGTAAATTCTATGAAGTAAGGACTATTTTACAGGTGAGAGGTGGTTATTATTAAGTGCTGTCAAGTCAGTTGTAACTCATATGACCCTGTATAAGGTATTGGAATAAGATTGTGGGGTTTTAAATTTTGTTTTAATTTAAAGGTTGACCCTTTGATAATCTTAGAGCAAGGGTAAAGAAAGATATCTGGAACAAAACAGCTAAGAGTTAACAAGATATAGAGGTCTAATGATAACAGTGTCTTATCTCCTTCCTGCCCCTGTGGTTCCTCTTCCATATAAAAAGCAAAACTAGACCACAGTAATACCTAACTTGGCATCCTGGTGTGACACTGTAGCATAAGCACTGGACTGCTAACTGAAAGGTTGGTGGTTCAAGCCCACCAACTGCTCCTCGGAAACCCTATTACTGGGTCACTGTAAGTCGGAACTGACTCACTGGCACTTAAAAATAACTAACTTAAAACTATAATGCGAAGCCACTGCAGTACATCTTAAGGTTTTGTTTTGGGTGACTCTACTTTTGCATTCCTACACTGCTAACACTGTCAGAAGTGATAACTGTTCTATGATTCCTTGAGTTGGCCTCCTAAGCCAGAAGCAACCCAAACAGAAACTAAGAAAGGAAAACTTAAGTGAGCACATTGTTGTTTTGAGTTAAGTATTACTGTGGTCTTTTTTTTTTTTCTTTTTTTGGCAGGGAGGAGCAACAGGGTCAGTCCTGGTGTGGCATTGTAGAATAAGCACTGGACTGTTAACCACAAGGTCAGCAGTTCGAAACTACCAGCAGTTCGCGGGAGAAAGATGAGGCGTTCCGCGCCTCTAAAGATTTACAGCCTTGGAAACCCTGTAAAGGATCACTATGAGTCGGAACCAACTCCACGGTACTTAACAACAACATGAGTTGGAACTTACTCAACAACACACAAGTCAGAACTGTCTTTAGAGTTGAGTATCTCTGTTGTTGTTGTTAAGTGCCACGGAGTCGGTTCTGATCCATAGGGACCCTGTATAGAGTTTCCTAGGAGCAGCTGGTAAGCTTGAACCACTGACCTTGCAGTTCAAACCAACTTTTCAGACCAGCGCACACCATAGCGCCATACCAGGACTCCTGAATATCTCTGGAGTTGGGCTATAGAAAATCCTGTTTTTAGATTCCTGTATTATTTGGGGCTTTCAGTGAGATGGGTAGTAATTTCATAATCAATTTAGATGTGTGTTGTAATGAAGAATTTTTAGCAACTTGTATCTTTTTTTTAAAAAGCAAAAGATTATTTATTAAGTTGTGGGTCCTCTCTGCAATGTTAGCTGAGTAGCTTGGTTAATGGTTTGGAACATGTCAAGCTCCTTCAAAACACTAACTGTTCCTGGGATTGAAAATACTTTTGGCATGGGAGCTGTTATTTTTGAATTATCATTGCAATTTAATCTTGCTCAGTTGAGTTTGCATATTAGCCACTGAAATGTAGATATCCTTAACATACAACTTTTGAGTACAACAAAGCCCTGGTATAGTGTGGTTAAGCTTTCACTTGCTACCTGAAAGGTTCAAAGCCACCAGCAACTCCACAAATGTGGCAATCTGCTCTGGTAATTTACAGCCTTGGAAACCTGAAAGAGGGGAGTTCTACCCTGTACCGTAGGGTCACTGTGAGTCAAGGGTTGACTATATGGCAGTGGGTCTGAGCACAATGAGTTGAGTGTAGAAACCAGGTAAGTTTATTCCATCTAGCAAAACATATAACAATAGTTTTAGTTAATTACATGGCTGCACATAAGTTTTTGGCTATTTAGAACAGATCCTAGAGTAAACGATCATACTTGCCTTGATTCTGAGACCTTTCCCCTTACATTTTAGTATTTCTAAAAAAAATTATTACATTAAATGTATTATGTCCATTGCTTCCTTCTCCCCCTATAAAGTTATTATTTAAAATGTTGTATTGAAAAAGTAGGGTTGTTATATGTTTTACTTAAAATGTAGACTAGTGATTTTTGTCTTATATTTTATGTGTGCAGTTTTTTTTTTTTTTTTTTTTTAACTACAAGTCACTACTAAGACAAGAAAAAATTCATACAAGACACTCCCCTCCTCTCCCCCAATGCACTGCCTTTGGTGATTTTTGTTTTTCCATCAATTATAAGGACCCCCTTATTAATCACATCTTATAAGAAGTGTGATTAATGGGAAATGTTGAGGAACAGTCTGGCAAAGAGGAGTATTTGTCATTTTCTTCTCCCACAATTTCCACTGAATGGGGTCCAGTTACATGAGTATTGCCCTTTCTGATTAACAGTCCCCTGGGTGTCTGATGATTTACCTGCCTCCGTCCCCTCCCCCCTTTTTTTAACTATTGAAATTGGAAGCAAGAGGTAATTTACCGTCGCTGTTTGTGAACTTGGCTCTGAGGGTTGCTTCAGTATTGATGCAAGTTCTGTCTAGGGATGTCATTAGGGGTGCTAATGAAAGCCTTAAACAAAGACACTTTCCAGATGCTGGATTCTACCATCCTGTAAGTATTCTCTCTAGAGGACAGATTCATCATGGTTATGGAAGGCTCTGCAAGAGTCTGCAATAATTGCACCATCTAGATCAAGAGGGCCCAGAACCCCATGATTTAGAGGCGAAAGCAACAGCTTTAGTAGGTTTTGCAGCTTCTTACTGTACCCATCCTTGAGAACAGAACTCTCGAAAAGTATATAGGTGAGTAGGGATGCTGGTGAGAGAAGAAAAAGAGGGTATAGTATTTATGCAGATAACACAGGTTTTGTGTTTGGAGTCCTGGTGTGGCACTGTAGTATAAGCACTGGACTGCTAACTGCAAAACCAGTGGTTCAAACCCACGACACACTTTTCAGAAACCCTGTACAGGGTTCCTATGAGTTGGAACTGACTCCACAGCACTTAACAACATGTTTGTTTGCCTCCTGTAACCCCAAGGTATATTTGTAAACTCACTGTGCTTATTTTTAAAGCAACATGTGAAACAATGTTGGCATAGCTGCTTATTATCAGAGAGGGTGAGATTGGCAAACAAGCATAGAGTATCTGTGTGAAATGGCAGTCATTTGAGAAAGAAACCCAGCCCTGTGATTGTTTCAATTGTAGGAGAGCCTCAGGAAGGAACTGGTACTGTACTGATGTTTGGTGACTGTGAGAGTGGCATCTTTCCAGTGGCCCAGGAGTCCTTTGGAAAAATCGGTTCAGAGAGTGCAGCTTTTATTGCCTAGACTAATTGTGCTTATTTGTGAGTAGTTGGCCTGTCTTTCAAACAGCGTACTTAACTTTTTGTGTTGAATCCTGTTCCCCTACCTTTTCTTCGGTAAATTTGGAGTGGATCTGAGTCTATTAAGAATTTGGAAAGTTCATATTTAGGAAGGATGAAAGCCCTTGACTAGATTTCTGGTTCTGTGGATTGAACATGCTTTTGAGGATTGCATGTGAAATAGGGACCTGATTGCATGGTATTGATATGATGCAACCTAGATGGTGGTGGATATCTTTCCATTTAAAATGCCATTTTATGTATATAACTCAGAAATAACTGGGACAGTTGGCAAAGTCTGAATAAGGTCTATAGGTCAGATAATAGTACTGGTATTTACGATCACTAAGGATTTAGGGGTAAAGGCACATTGGGTCTACATGATTAGAAAAAGACATTATTTTTAAGCTTTCTCTGTATTATATGGGAGCCCTGGTGGCTTTGTGTATTAGGCATTGAACGGCTAATTTCAAGGTTGGTGGTTCAAATCCACCAACTTCTCCACCAGAAGAAGATGAAACTATTTGTTCTCATAAAGATTTGCAGTCTTGAATACCCTAAATAGGTTCGTTATGAGTCAGAGTCAACTTGATGGCAGTGGGTTTGGCTTTGGTTTCTCATATATACAGAGAGGATAAAGCAAATGTGGTTAACTCTGGGTGAAGGGCATACAGGGAGTCTTTGTAACTATTATAACTTTTGAATAAAAAAGATTCAGAAATAATGTCAAAAAGTAAATGATCCTTTCTGCATAAATTCCATTTTTATAGGATCGTGCCTTCTTTTAAAATTGTGAAATCTTTTTCATTTCAGTTGTAAAATGTGTTAGGTAAAACGTTTCAACATGTGTATTTAAAATGCAAGTCCCAGTGCCAGACTTAGCTTTTTAGTTACTTGAGTTTTTGTTTGTTTTTAAATCCTTGCGGTTCTGTGCCTTTCCTAAGGGAATTCTCTAGCATCTTATAAAATTACATTATGTTCTAGTGACTTGAGTGAGTCTTTTTAACTAGATTGCTAATTGAGAATTTCTTTAGGGAACAAACACTTTTAAAGAGGCAAACTACCATTCTGAAAGAATAGAAATGAAGTGATAACTAAATAGTTATTTGGGAGAGAAGATGGGTTCGTTTCCTGTGTCCTCTTTAAAATGGTTGAGTTTTATTGCAAATGCATTCTAGGAGGAAATATACAAAAATTAAAATGGTTATGTTAGGGCAATTGAGTTTGGATATAATTTTCCTTTTTTTCCTAACTTGCATATTGTTTCTGTCTTTATAACACAGTTATCTGTGTTTAATCTTGCATTCCAGCACCTTTAAAGTAACCTCTCATCCTGTTCTTGATTCTTTAGAGCTGAGACTGTGTCGTACAGACTCTGGCATCATGAACATGTTCGATCGGAAGATCAACTTTGATGCGCTCTTAAAGTTTTCCCACATGTAAGTGTTTTGACCTTGCCTTCCTTCATTGCCTTTCAAACGTAGTTTCTTTTCCTTTTCCTCACTTATTAACTTCTGTTTGTATAAGCTAACAGATTAACTTTGCTAGACTTCAGAAGAGCTGATACAAGTACCCAGATTCTAAGGGCTGCAATGTGGTCATTGGAAAGTCATTTGATTATTCTTGTTTGAGTACTGATTGTTCTTAATTTAAGATTTGGGTCTTCGTCAGCATTGAAGATTCTCTGTTAATCTGTTTTCAATGCATTCTCTGTTTTGTATTACAAAATGCTCTCTCCAAAGTATCTCAGGCTCTTCACAATATAATTTTCACAAACTCCCTGGAAAGAGGAGGAGAGGGAAAAATTATTCTTAGTTTGGAGATATGAGTCCTGAATGATGGTCATTATTAACATTCTTTCCCAGAACCCCCTCTACACAGCAGCACCTGAAGAAGGTCTATGCCAGTTTTGCCCTCTGTATGTTTGTGGCAGCTGCAGGGGCATACATCCATGTGGTCACTCACTTCATTCAGGTAAGAGCAATTTTCTCTTCTTGTATTAGGAAGAAACCCGCTTAGCAGGGTGGCTCAAGTCAGTGCCCCACCTTTATCTTTATCAGTACTTTGGGATCTGGACTCAACCATCCATTAAGTCAGGACACAGAGCCTTTTGACTTCTCTGGGAACTGCCTCCTCTAGATACTGAAAACACAGCGTCTTAACGCTGACACTGAATGGTGTGCTGCTCTGCAAGACTTCAATGGGATGGGGGCATGATGCGTTTGCCTTTTATCTTTTCCTCCATTCTTTTTTGGAGTGAAGTCTAAGTGATTGCAGAGTATTTACCACTGCTTGTCTCGTTAATTATCAGTTCATATACACTGATATTGGCATGACTGTGTTGATGGAGGGTTTGGGCTAGTCCAGAAGGGATTATGGAACATTGGAGAATAACCAAAAAAGCATTCAAGTTCAACAGACAATATACTTCAAACACTTGTCACTTTGGCGTACTTCTATTTCTGGGACAATTGGGTCCTAGCAGTTGTATTGTGGTTGATGAGCTCTCATGGCCAGAGGGCCTCTAGCACCCTCTGTGGTACTAACCCTGTCCTTTAAGACTTTTGATTTCTTTCCTCAGCCCTCACTCTTAAGAAAACACTACCTTTTCTATTGCCTTTAGATTAGGACCAAATATTAGGAAGTTAAGATGAGTATTTGAACCCAATAAGGTTTCTGTTTGATTTTCATGTATCTAATTATTGATGTTGGTACTGATAGGCTGGCCTGCTGTCTGCCCTGGGCTCCTTGGGATTAATGATTTGGCTGATGGCAATACCTCATAACCATGAAACTGAGCGTAAAAGACTGGGGCTGCTTGCTGGATTTGCTTTCCTTACAGGTATGTGAAAAGGTTGGCCTAATTTTGAGTCAGGAAACTTTTTATTGTCTTTTTCTAAGGCCTGAAATTTGTTTTTTATTTTGATTCACCCCAAGTGGAACACTCATTGTCTGCGTATTCCAGTAATACAATTCTTCCAGAACAGTTCTCTTTGTAAAGTTTTCATTGAAACATCTTACTCCTTTCTAGTTTCAGCTAGCACTGTCTAGCTAATCTTGTATTTGAGAATATTTTATCATGTCTCCTCTCTTGCGTCCCCATCCAGAAAGTAAACTCTGTGACCAGGAACTGTGACTTCTACTTTTGTATCCAAAAGTGTAAGCACTATGTCCTTGAGTTGACAGGGTCAAGAGTTTACGTAGCATTGTTAATGGAACAAAATTAGCCTAAGAATTTAACATAATTGGGTCCAACTGGCAACAATTATAAGAGTATCTGTTCTGAACCTTGCAGATAGTTAATTAAAGCTGTATACATTGAGATTATTGTCCAAGGCACTTTGCTGATTCTCAAGAAAGGAATTAAAAGCCTAGTTCTTCTAGAATTAAGGGAAAGCAGGACTCATGTTCATAATCAAAATAATTACAGAGTGATTTTTGCCTTAATACAATTTGTTCTAAGTGACAATCTGACCTATGCAGTGTTGAAGAAATTATAGAAAGGAAAGGGATTTGGGGGTTTTAAGATTTTTGGATCAAAGAAAGCTAGTATTGTAAGGCATTAAGGAGTAGAATTACCAGGAGAGAGGTGAGTAGAGGAAACGGTGGAGCTGGAGCAGGTCATTATGGTGCCCTGGGAGTTGGCAGGTGTCCCTGCAAAACTGGTCTGGCCTTTTTTTTTTTAACCACAGTGCGGATCAGTCCTGTATGACTACAAGGTTCCTGGCCACAAAACATTGCTTTGCTCTTTCTTCTTTTCTCCTAATCCCTGTTCTGCCCCACATTACAGTCTTGTGTCAACCCTTTTCAAAATTTCGCAGTCTTGTAATTTAGTTTTAAAACATTTACGTGCCTGCTGTGTGTGTGTATACATATATATAGAGAGAGCAAGTGCTAGAGAGCGAGCGAGCGAGCTCTGCTAGCGTCGTGGTTATGAATCGGGCTGCGAACCGCAAGGTCAGCAGTTCGAAACTACCAGCTATTCTTCAGGAGAAATAATAAGGCTTTGAAACCTGTACAGGGTCGCTGTGAGTCAGAACCAACTCCACAGCACATCACCACCACCACCATATATACATATTTGTTGTTATTAAGTGCCATCGAATCTGTTCCAATTCATAGTGACCCTGTATAGGGTTTCAAAGGAGCTACTGGTGGGTTTAAACCTTGTGGTTTGCAGTCCAATGTTGATCCTACAGCACCACACCAGGAGATACATACATATAATATATGTATATCATCCATGATTCTAAGTGCAGGGGCGATACCTATGCTCTTAATGATATACTTTTGGACAAGGGCTGATGGTAATGTCATGGTCTGGAATTTTGCTTTCTAGGAGTTGGTCTGGGCCCTGCTCTAGAGTTGTGCATTTCCATCAACCCCAGGTAAGTGTTTTAGTAGCATCTTAGGACTTTTTCCCTTTGTGAATATACCTTCTGCATACAGCCTGTAGACATGTAGCCCTTAATCTAATGTGTTTTTTTTCCCTTTGACAGCATCATTCCCACCGCTTTCATGGGGACAGCAATGATCTTCACCTGCTTCACTCTGAGTGCCCTCTATGCTAGACGTCGTAGCTACCTTTTCTTGGGAGGTAAAATAGGGGCTAGAAAGCAGGGGAGGAGGGTCTCTATTCTAGCCAAAATCTTGACTATGACTCTGTTGTTATCCCACAATTTTCTTCTTACTTTTGGGTTGAAATGGAAAGCCTTCAGTTTATGTTTTTGAGGAGTGTAGGGGTTGTGGGGAACTACTTTACCTTTTTTTGGCTTCTCTGACAGGTGTCTTGATGTCAGCCATGAGCCTGATGGTCTTATCCTCTCTCGGCAACCTTTTCTTTGGATCCATTTGGCTTTTCCAGGTGAGACTTTGTTTGTAACTTTCCAGTAGCCATTTATCAACTGCTTTTTTTTTTTTTGGCTTAAATGTAAAGCAGGCTACACTAAGAGTCCGCTAGGATATCCACTTTGTTAGGCAGTGCTGCTCTTCTAGCCTCCCCATGAACCCTCCTAGGATGGAGCCCTCTGCTAGAGTGAAAATATATACTGACCAGCAGTTAGGCATTGCTGAGTAATGGGAATTTGTCTAAGGCCAGTCCAGCAATGTCTCCTTATTAAAATGGGTGATGGTCTTCCCGGCACTTAAAAAGATGAGCACAGAATTATGTGTAAGGAAGTAGTGTGTTAATGTCAGTAGGGTTAAAGTAGATGAGAACCAAAGCAAAGTTTGTCTTTTTTATGGTAACCTTATCTCATTCTTTTATTAGGCAAACCTGTATGTGGGGCTCGTGGTCATGTGTGGCTTTGTCCTTTTCGATACTCAACTCATTATTGAAAAGGCTGAAAATGGAGATAAGGATTATATCTGGTGAGTGTGAGAACTGGTCTGTAATGAGCACAAAGGTGAGGCATGCCATTTAATTCCATGGCTGCTTTCTGAATCCTTGGCTTGATTCACATTTCTGTCCAATTCAGTACAGATAAGAGTAGACCAGGTGGCTCTGACTGAACTTAGGTAGCCAACCTTTGGAATTGTGTATAATAGGTTGCCCATAGTTTTGGAACGACACATCAAATACCATAGTTTCCCCTGCTTCCTGAAACAAACTAAAAAAAAAAATTTTTTTTTAATTGGAGCAATAATATATCCAAGAGTAAGTAGAGAAAAGTACTGCTACTAGGATTCCAGTTAATGCATGCATGGTTTTCTTCCAAATAAAACATTGAAACATGTCTCTGCAGTCAGTGGATGGCTGCAGACAAGTTCCTCAGTAACTTTTCTTAGTCTTGTTAGGGTGCTTTCAAGGAAAAAAAAAGTTCCAATCTGAAGGAATCTGCTGGACCAGTTCAATTCAAGGTTATGGTGACTGTTTTTTGAGATTCCAAAGGGAGACTCTTGGTAGATTTTCTGAAAATTACCAGAATTATAATGTAGGCTTATTAGGAAGAAGTTTTTTTAAAAATCTGAAAACTCCAGGAAGGTTATGTCAAGGAATTTTTTCCATCACAGCAGTGTACCAGCTCATTCTTTGGGATAGCAAGGGCTGTCCTATAGGAATTTAATTGGGAAACCTTACCCCATCCACCCTACAACCCTGATTTTGTCCACTCAGACATTTTTTTGTTCCCCAAACTCATATGACATTTAAAAGGGATATATTAATCCCTTAAGGATGCCAGAACTGTCATTTTGATGTCATATAAATAGAAAAGAAAATTCATTGGAGAAGGCTAAAGATATGGAAGCATTTCCTTCCAAAATGCATAGACTTAGGTGGTAGATATGTTGAGAATGAACCTTCACATTTTAGTGTTTGTATAATAAAGGGTTTTGTAATTTTGTAGTAATAGTTTTGGACTTACTCTTACATGTAATTTTTTAATATAACTTTCTTCCAAGTCTCCTAGTTAGTTGTGATAGATTCAAGGTTGAGACTTGGGCTCTACTGAATCCAAAGCCCATATTCTTTCCTCTATGCTATATGGCTTCAATGAGTTGAAAAGGATCTTAGACACCAGAGTTTTACTTGGTGAAGTGTGGGGAGAAGCTGACTCTAGGAGGTGGGGTTTGGTTTCTGTTCTGCACCTTTGTGGATTTTGAAATGAAATAGTGGGAAGTTCGTTTCATAACCTGGTTCATTTCTTTTAGGCATTGCGTTGACCTCTTCCTGGATTTTGTTACCCTGTTCCGAAAACTCATGATGATCCTGGCTATGAATGAGAAGGTTAGTTAGCCCACCATCTGAAGATGAGAGAATACCTTTGAACTCAGCATCTGTGTTTATTTTCCATTTCAAATTTGAAAACATGTAGAAACACTGTAGGTCCAGAGTGTCTATAAAGCAGACTATTGAGTAAACCAGAAACTTTGGGTTAATGAAGAAAAAATAAGTAAAAGCAATCCACTTTAAAAAAAAAAAACAAACAAAAAACTAATCTTGAGGTTAGTATATAGAGAAAAAAAATTTTAAAAAAGCAACTGCTACATGAAGAATTTAAAGACTATAAAGATAAGATGATGGTAGCACAACAGTTAAGTGCTTGGCTGCTAACTGAACGATTGGCAGTTTGAACCCACCCAGTGGCTCCCAGCACAGGAAGAAGTCATGGCAGTCTGGTTCCATAAGGTTGTTGTTCTTAAGTGCCATCAAGTCAGTTCCGACTCAGTGACTCTGTATAGGGTTTCCAAGGAGTACCTGGTGGGTTTGAACTGCTAACCTTATAGTATGCAGTCCAGTTCTGATCGTACAGCACCACAGAATGGTTGCTGTGAGTTGGAATCAATTCCATATCACAACAACAGAGATAATTATGATTCCAAGAAAGATACTCCAGAGGAACAGAGTAATTTTAAAAGCCAGCTTTTGCACATAAATTTCAGAAGAGAAAATGTTTACTCATTTGCTATTAAATCTTGTTTGTTCCCCCCCACCCACACCCCCCACCCCCAAGAAATAGTCTGTATAGGGTTAATGTCAAACATAGTGTAGTCTAATAGTAGATGAACAAAGGAAACTACATACTTCTTTACATAGATCCTCTTGGGGAACAGTGTTGGTGGAATTAGGTGACTAGATGGGATTGGTGAGTTCTTTCTGGGCTGTGCAACTGCTGAACTGAGCTCCAAGGAAGTGGCTCAGTTTCAGCCAAAGCAATTCGGTGTTCATTTGTTTACTATATTGGGTTTTTACCTAAGATTGAAGAGTTCCACTGAGCTAAGTTTTTTTTTGAATGTTGATTCTTGCTCCAGGGTGGACCACTTTCCAGGTCTAGTGGGAAGTGGGTGGTGTTGGCCTGTTTTGCTCCCTTAGAACAGATTGTCAGTCTGCCACCTTCTGTGGTTGGGATCTGAGCTGCACTGGTTAGAAGAAGCCAAGAGTGTTCAGGCAGCCTGCATGGTACCAGGGGAGGGATATGGTGCTACTTAATCTTATTCTCAAGCCTGTCTTACTAACTGGCAATTTTGGGGACTACAGTGAAATATAAGATTCAGTTATTGATGAATTAAGGGAGAGTTTTTCATCCTCTTTTTTATTGTATTGATCCCTTCTAATCCCTAACCAAAGTTGATGGTTGTCTTTAGATTTTTAGTTTGTATGTCAGATGCCAAAACTTTAATTGGGTGCTTTTTCTCCATTTCTAGGACAAGAAAAAAAAGAAGTGAAATGACCCTCCAGCCTTTCCCAGTTTGACTTCCTCTCCTACCAACCCTCATTTTCTCTTTGCACACATTACAGGTGGCGTGTTCTGTGATAATGAAAAGCATCAGAAAAGCTTTTGTACTTTGTGGTTTTCTCTATTTTGAATTTTTTGATCAAAAACTGATTAGCAGAATATAGTTTGGAGTTTGGCTTCATCTTCTTGGGGTTCCTCCCCACTCCCTTTTCTGTCAACCCCATCCCTGCTCAGGCAGCCAGTCCATCATGATGAGGAAGGGCCAACAGAGGAAGCAAATTCCAGAAGCCCGCTTTCCAAAGTTGCACCAAGTGGACCTGACCTGTGCTGAGAACCACTCAGCATTGTTAAATTTGTGCAGTTTCTTTCGAACTGACCAGTGGGTTTTCCATTGGCAAGAAGTTTGCTTGTCCCATTGTTAACTTGGGTTCATCATATCTAAGCTGTCAACCCTTAAAAGAAAAAAATGTGTCTTAGCTTCTTCTGAGCTGCCCAAGTGGCTGCTGGCCTGGCAACACCCCTTTATGCGATGCCATCACAAAAGAAATGTGGATTTGTGTTTGTTCCCTTTCCCACCCTTGCCTGCCCCTCAGGGAATCTGCCTGCTTTTCATCCCTGGGGTGGGAGGATTTTAGCACAAAGGGAAGACTGATTCTTGTCAGGCATTTATTAAAAGGCTGTATATGTGTGACAAGATATAACAATTCTCAAACTTCCCTTGGTCTTTATTTTATTTGTTTTCTACTGGTTTTCACCTTAGTTACTGAGTTGCCTCTACCAGATGACTATGATTAAAAGTCCCAAGAGAGGAAGAATAGGGCAGGCAAAAGGTTGAGTCTCCATAGCTAACTGTAACTAATTTTACCAGACAGGCCTAGATGAGGACCTGTTTTGGGGGGTGAGGAGGGACATAATCTCTGTGGGGTGGTTCTTGACTCAGATGAACAGAACCAGGCTGTGATGACTTGGGAGACAGCATTCCAGTACATTTGTGTCTCTCCCCACCTGGACATTAATATGTCAGGCCACAGATTGGAGGCAGTAGATCAATGTTCATTTAACGATGCACTTTAGTTTTTGGTCTGCGCACCTGTTTCCAGAAATCTGTAGTTTCCTTCCAGTCAGGTGCCAGGTGACCAAACCTGTGAGTGACCTAAATTCTTGCAGCTTTGTGGTTGTCAGTCTGGGTGGACAATACTATTGGAGTTCACCAGCTGCTCTTCTGCGTGGTGCCAGTCAGTTGGTACAGAAGGGCGATATCAGATATGGCTGTGGCCATTCCTAGGGTTCTATGTAAGAGGGACTGAGTGTAAAGCTTATTACAGTGGGGTACCATTTTTAACTCTTCCTATTCACCACCAGTGAGTGCACAGTACCGTGTCACGGTGCCGTCCACCTCATGAAACTTCCAGGCTGTGTTAGTCCTGGAGTGACTTGCTGCCCATTATGGCTCACTTCCACAGAGGGTACACCCCTGCAATTTAGCTGCTGCCTCCAGTCTCTGGCCTGAGAACTTACTAAATGGACTAACTTTCTATTAAGCCCCAGTTAGCAACGCTCCATGAATTTGATGATTCTCTGCCAGGCCCGAGACTCTGAGTTATATCTCCTGAAGCCAGCTCCACCTCTTGTGCTTTTTTGCTTGGGATAAAGGACTTTTTCTTTAGAAACAGTGCCAAGAATGACCAGATATATTTAAAAAAATAATAAAACTACTTTTAAGGAAAATGCCTAACAGGTTTTTAATACAGTAATCACTGTAATCACTTTCTTTTCTAGTTTCTTGGTTTTCAGCTCAGGCTGCATTCTCTAACTCATACTGTGAAGACAAAGATGTTTTTGATTCAGAAATATATGAAATCTACATAATCTTAATTTGTAAAAAATAAAGAAAATTCCTTAACCTTTCTTTGTGTTTGCATGTGTTAAATTCAAGATACAGCTGAACATGGGCCTTGGGGTCCTGTATGGCTTGCTGGCAGGGGCTGGGAATCAGACAAGATTTTCTACTCTAGATACAAAAACCCTTTAGGCCTCCTGTTCTGTAGCTCCAATTTGCCACCAATGTCATGAAATAAACAGCCTACCAAATACTCAGCCCAAGCCCTTTCCCCCTCCCCACCTTTTATTGTAGTTTATTTGTGGTAGCATGTGCAGTTGGTTCAAGTGGCTGCATGATGGAAATAAGACATTTGTGTGTTCTGTACATAGTTTTGGTCACTCACTATGGCCAAGTTCTAGCAATCATCAGTGACCCCACCAGCTGCTCCTTGGAAACCGTAGATAGGGTCGCTATGAGTCAGAACTGGTTCATTTTCTGAAGTGCACCATCAGTGATTTCTAGTCTATCTTGTCTGAAATTGCTGAAGCATTGACTTGGTGCTAAAGCAGCAGGTATCATACTAATCCAAGCACCACAGTATAAAAAAATGACAAGTGGTGTCATAAGGTTACTCAGTTTTGTGCATCTGTTTGCTCGCTAGTCAGGATTAGGATTTGACCATTACACTTAGCAGAATAGAAAAAGAGCTACCTGGCCAACCAACTGGAAGAGTCCTATATTTGTGTCTTATTTCCAAAACAGGTAATCCAACAGAATGTGCATATTATTGGACAGTTTGCTTAAGATAATTAAAAAGTAGTTTCAGTGGTACATGATAGAACAGTTAGAAACTCAATGCCAGATTCATAAGAGGAGCTGAAACAAATATTGCTGATGTTAACATGGATCTTATCTGAAAGAGAATGCCAGGAAAATGTCTACCTGTGTTTCATTACTGCAAAGGCGTTTGTGTGAATCATTGAAAATTATGAAAAACATCAGGAAGGATGGGAATTCCATAATATATACTTGTACTCACACAGAACTTGTACATAGACCAAGAGGCAGTAGTTGCAACAGAGCAAGGGTATGCATCAGGGTTGTATCTTTTCACCAAATTTATTCAACCTGTTGAGCAAATAATCAGATGAACTATATGAAGAACTAGCATCAGATTGGGAGAAAAATTCATTAACCTGCAATATGCAGATAACACAAACTTGCCTAATTAAGAAGACGTCAAGCACTCATTGATTAAAAGACTTCAGTATGTATGACGTAACAAAAATTTTCCTGACTAGACCAGTAAGCAATATGATAAATGGAAAAAAGGTTGAAGTTGTCAAGGATTTCATTTTACTTGGATCCACAGTCAATGCCCATGGAAGCAATAACCAAGAAATCAAAGGATGTATTGGGCAAATATGCTGCAAAAGACCTGGGTAAAGTGTTAAAATACACAGAAGGCTCTGAGGACTAAGGTGTGCCTGACCCAAGCTATGGTATTTTCTTTTTCTCTTTTTAAAAAATTTGTACTGGGATTTGGGTGACAGTTTACAAAGCAAATTGGTTTTCCATTCAGTAATTTATACACGTTTTGTTATTAATAGCAAGCCATACAAAATAACAGCACTTTTGTACCACTTTCTCCCTGTGTTCCTCATTTCCATGTATCCTCTGCCATGTTTTCTGAGCTTTATTCCTGGGCAAATGTTGCCCTTTTTCATTTGTATGGTTGGTTGTCCTAAGGGGTGTGCACCTCCCTGGTGTTATTGTTCACCTTATATAGACTTGTCTGTCGTTTGGTTGAAAGTTGAACCACAAGTGTGTGCATATGCGCATATGTGTGTGTTCAGTTCCAGGGTCATAGTCTTGAGGATTCCTTCAGCCTACATCAGATCAGTAAGTCTGGTCCTTTTTTCTATGATTTTGAGTTTTGTTCCACATTTTTCTGTCACTCTATCAAGGACCTTCTAGTGTGATCCCTTTCAGAGCAGTCAGCAATGGTAGGTGGGCACCATTTAGTTTTAGCCTCAGGGTAGTGGAGGCTGAGGTTTGATCCATGATCCATTAGACCTTTGGACAGATTGTTTCCATGCATCTTTGCTATTTTTTTCTTATGCTCAAGACAGGAAGAGATCAATAGTTACACCTTAGATGGCCACTCCCAAGCTTTTAATACCCCAATCAACTCACCACAGTAGGTAAGTAGAGTAGAGTGTTTGTGGACTATGTTATGCCAATTCACCTTGATGTGTCCTGAGACAATGGTCCTGAGTCTGCAGGCTGAGCTACTCATTCACTTAAGGTATTCGCTGTGGCCAAGAAGTTTACATAACTTGGCTCCCTGTATGTTATATTCATGGATATATTTGCAGCATGTATAAATACATATAGAACTATCCTTTTGTCAAGTCTCTATATATTTGTAAGGAGTTCTGGTAGCGTAGTGGTTACAAATCAGGCTATTAACATTAAGGTCAGCAGATTGAAACTACCAGCCACTCCACGGGAGAAAGATGAGGCTTTCTGTTCCCATAAAGATTTACAGTCTCAGAAACCTTGTACAGGGTCTCTAATGGGTCGGAACTGACTCAATGGCACTTAACAATAACAACACATATATTTGTGAGTGTAGTCCCCATTCATCTTCCACATCTGTTCAGCTTGCATGTCTATGTATCAAAAAGTTGTTATTACAGAATTGTAGGAGAGGATTTCAAAAAGTTTGTGGGGAATATTGTTTAAGGATAATGGAATTGTTCCATGAACTTTGGATGCCCCTCATATATGCAATAGTATTTACCTTTGCTACCTTTATCTGCTGTGTTCCTTTTGTGTTCCTCTTAGTGGTCAAAATGCTATGACCATTTTGTGTTGACTTACTTATTGTATATTGCCTTTCCCTTCAACCAAGTTCTCTATGTTTGTCCTCTAGTTAGTGATTTACCCTTTTTTCCCTTCTTACGCCTGGTAACCTTCAAAGGATATTTCTGTATGTAAATATTTTCTTGACTTTTTATAGTAGTAGTCTCATACAATATTTATTCTTTTGTGATTGACTAATTTCACTCAACAGACTTGTCCAGGTTCATCCATATTATGAGGTGCTTCACAGACACACTATTGTTCTTTAATGTTGCGTAGTATTCCATTGTGTGGCTGTACCATAGTTTATCCATTAATATGTTAATGGGAACTTAGGTTGTTTTCAGCTTTTGCTATTGTAAATAGTGCTGCAATGAACATGGTATGCCTATATCCATATCATGGCTC